CCTGATAAACAACTAGTAACACAATCCAGTACATGTGTGGTGTTAAAACTGTGACTGGATTTTCAACCTCACAACAACACACAGACACCAGACAACACACACACAGACAGACAGACAGACAGACAGACAGAACAGACCAGGACACACACACACACACACACACACAGAACCACACAGACAGACACACACACACCACACACACACCACAACACAGAACAGCACACAGACACAGACACAGACACAGACACACAGACACAGACACAGACACACATCACAGAACACACCACAGACACACACAGACACACAACAGACACACAGACACAGACACAGACACAAAGACACAGACACAGACACATGACACACACACACACAGACACATGACACAGACACAGACACCAGACACACACACACACACACACACAACGACACAGACACAGAACCTCTGGACAGGAACCGGTGCGTCGCCAGCAGGAGCTGCGGCGGACGTCTCGGAATCTTGGGTTCTCCTTCGGGAGCTTGAAGGAGCGAGAACTCCTCGTGGACCTGCGGAGGCTCAGAGGAATCTCCCAGGCTGGAGCGAGCCAGAGGACGGCTTCACCTTCCGGTCCACTGCAGAGATCAGGACACTTATAAACACGGGGAACTTACAGACGCTGGTCAGATTCAAAAACCTGGATATAAAGAGTTGTCTGTAGAGAGCGCACCAGCTGGAACATGTGTCTGATATTTTCACTTCATTCAGCTGGATATTCGGAACAAGGTTAACTACTTTAAAGGGTTAATTAATGGAAGCTCAAATCTGCCATAAAATAAAACAATTAAGTAAAAAAAAAGGCCTTAATTATTAAAAAAATGTTCATGTTACCTCAAACATGAATGCAGGTAAAATATAATTTATTAAAACAAGTAAGAACTACATCAGATTCGGTCCAAAGATCTGATGAGAAACACACCTCACCACCAAAGAGATGAAATGAAGACAGCTCAAATCTAAGAGATACGCCAAAAGTGTGAAATTAAAACTAAACAGACATAATATACAATAAATAAAAACAAAAGTTCATACACCAAAATTGATAATATGATAAAAATCATAATAAATGAAATAAAAAGTCAAATTAGGAAAGATAAAGTTATCATTTATAAGCCTAAGTCAAAAATTAAGAAGTAAACAGTATATACAGTCAGCCCCATCGGACTCTCCAGGATCCTGATTGATCGATCCCTCGATGACCGTCTCAGTAAACGTGACCAACCAGCACCTCGTAGAAAGGAGCTTCCCCCCCGTCGTTGTTTCACCTTCTGGCGATGGCCATGTGAGAAGCAGTTTCCTGAACGGAGCGAGGAGGACAAGTCAGAGGTCAGCCCAGTCTTCACTCAAAGGGTCAGAGCTTTTCAAACTGTGGACTGGACTTTCTGCGTTTGGAACGGAAACACATTTGTGCTGCAGGTAAAATCATAAACACATACAGGACACAAACACCGTCTTCTCAAAAAGTCATGAACGCGCGTGACTGAAGAGTAACAAGTGTAAACGTGTCTATTGATGTATTATCTATTATGTGAAGTGTGTGTGTGCCTTTGTTGAGTGTGAGCACACCTTTCTTGAACCCTTCCAGCATGGCGTCCAGTTTGGTGCCGTTGAGAGACGTAGTTGCAGCGGGTTGTCGTTGTAGAAACCTGGGATGCCCGTCATCGGGGTTGCAGGCGTCCGGGCGTCCACCGAGCAAGTTACCTCACATCCAGGATCTCCAACAATGTTGACCGGAAAGTCAAACGCAGTGTGTAACGAGAGAGAAACCTAACTGACATACGCTGTTGTCTGGTGTGGTGTCAGGTAAATGATTATTCAAAGTTAAGCCTTGGATTGTACCATGTTTAATGTAAGTCAAATTACGAGGTAAAAGGTCACAATTTACTGGGATAAAGTCAGAATCTAGGGAATAAAAAGTTACATTTACTGGGGGACCACCCCAAACGAGTCACATGTTGCCGGAAATACAGAAAGCACCCAACTTTGTGGGATGAAAAGGTCAACATGTGGATGAAAAGACTAAAGAAGCTTCCACCAGTTAGTCGGGCAAAAAAACCGCAACAAGTAATGAACTAAAGTCACAATTTCCGCTGGGTTAAAAGGTCAATAAGTAACGTCGAGAATCACCCCTTAACGATAAAAACGATAAAACGAAATACGGAACACACACATACTGTAAATGTATCCTGCTCTGGCTATGGTCAGCCCCACTCGACAAACCAACAACGAAGTGAAACTGTGCGATGAGGAGGTTAAACAGTAACAGCTGTACTTTCTCTGCTGGGATCCATTATACAAAGGCTTTTAAAACAGTGAAATGGCGTCGCTGGAAGACATAACGGTTCGTTCTGGCTTACGAGCTGCCCTAAATACTTCTTCCACCATTAAAACAGCTTGCAGAGTTAAAACTATGAGTCCAAACTGTGATGAAGGTCAGATAAGTGACTATTTGTACAATCTCTTTATTTAAAATCATGTTACTTTTGTTTAAATTTGACTTATCAATAAAGTTGAGAGGGAAAAAAATTAAAAAAGGTATTTTTGCAACTAGATTTAAATTTAAAACACATAAAAGCTCATTAATTATTCTGCATTAGAATAAAAACAATGCGGTATATTTTTAATGTTGTGGTTTTGCTGCTTTTATTTTACGACACTTTTAAGCTTTGCGACAGTCTTCGAGGTTTGGCGGTAACAGCTGTGAGCCAATCAGAGAGCGAGGCACTTTGTGTTTGTTGTTTGTTGTTTGTGCAATAAAGTTATCACAATGGTCGTCATAGTAACTTCCGGTGAGGGACTCTTCCCCTTCAAAATAAAATAAGAGACGCCCCAGAGGAGGAATTACAGCAGCACAATGACAGAATAAACACAGATAAATAGAGATATTTATATACAATAAGTACTTACATGTGTCTAAAATAATAAAATAATAAATATGTTTTCAGTAAGTAACGTAATTATAAATTCAAAATAGTACATTTAACAGTAATGTGATATATTAGTGTACCAGAATTATTATACGATATGATTCTGTAATTATATTTGAAGTTGTCTTTATTAAAATTGAAATATAATGTGGTACATAATTCACTAACATCATAAACATACATATTAATATAACATGATGTAGTATAATATAGTGCAGTATAATATAGTATGAGATATAAAGTATAATGTAAAGTAAATTAAGGTCGTTGTCATGTTTAGTGAATTCAGTTATTTTCATGCCAATCTAATTTGCTTAATTTGTTGGCTGCTTATTGTCAAATATCACAAACATTTCAAGGAGACCTGAAGTTTCCATTAAAATGATTTGAATCTCAAATAATTCAATTAAATGATATTTAGTAGTAAAAAAAACAACAACTTTGAAGTTCTATGGAGGCCCAAAAGTGTTCAATATTAACATATAAAACATTATGAAATAAATGCAGACAAAATATAGTCATGGAAATGTGAAATAATCCTGTTTTTTTTTTTTGACGTGAACACAAGAGCATTAAATCTCAGATAAACCTATATAAAACCTATATAAAGCTAAATAAAGCTAAATAAAGCTTAAGAAAAGTAGTTAAAACAACCAAAAAGCTAATAAAATAAGGAGAAGGAAACACTGAAAAAGCCCACTAAGTACATAAAAAAATATAAAAATACATAATAGAGACTTGTAGAGATTGTATAAAAACATTAGGAAAACTAATCTCTGATCAATATTAACAGGAAATAATCTGATCAATCTGTTTTACACAAACTTATTGTGTTCAATATGTATGTTCATTGTACAGTTTATCAGTTGTTCTGTACTGTTATTGTTATGCAGTAAATATAATGTGAAAATCCATAAAACACATCACTCAGGGGGTTCATCAGTTTACTAAATGACTCTTATACCCACCCTGTATATAAAGTATGCATTACATTAACGCTGCCCCTCTTCTGCACAGTTGTCTCTTCTTATCTTTATCTATTTCTTTTTTAAAAGTACTTTATAGTAATTTTTCTGTGTGATTTTTGTGTGATTTGTATACTTGTATTTGTATATTTTATGCACCAGGTCACATTCCTCGTAGGTGTAAAAACCTACTTGGCAAGAAAGCAAACTTCTGATTCTGATAAGAAAAGGACAACGTGTTTTATTTCGAAAATCTCGACCTGGAAGTGTCTTTGCACCGTCCGACGGCTTCAGGCTGCGAAGAGAAACTTAACAGATCTGGTTTCTGTCTCCTATAACTCAACACTTACAGCTCCCTCCCTCTTTCTCTCTGTGTGACAGAAAGCTGCGGGGTTTCAGCTCCACGATGTCCGGTCACGGCCACGGTCACGGTCACGGTTGCGGTTGCCAGGCGGAGCATGAGCCCGCGGAGAGGGGCCTGGAGTACGGACTGTACCGGCGGATCGACCTGGAGAAGCTGCAGTGCCTGAACGAGAGCAGAGACGGGGACGGGAAGCTGGTGTTCAAACCGTGGGATCAGCGGAACGACCGGGACAAGGTATCCGCCCTATAGAGCCTCTTCCCCCGGACAGGTAGCCCGTCTGTGCCCCCTCTTCCTCCTCCACACTCAGCGGTGTGTGTGAGTAATGTTGGCCGGGTGAGAGTGCACTCTGTGCGGCTTCTGCTGTCGCCGAGCCTCGCTGAGGGAGGCTGCGCAGTTATTCAGTTTAATAAACCTTATTAATAACACTGACAAAATAACAGGAGTAGAAGTAGAAGAAATATTCGTCTTTTACTTAAAAGTACAAAAATATTTCCATTAAAACATATTTAAAGTGTTAAAAGTAAATAAAATAATGCTCATTATGCAGAATAACCTATTTTAGAGTCGCTTATATTTTATAACTGGGTTAAATTTATTTATGTGTATGTTGCTTCACTGTTGCAGCTGGTAAAGGTGAGGATAGTTTTAATTCTTTTTATTTATTAAACTCTCATCTGTGGAAGCCCATTTCTGCCAGTAAAATAAAACAATAAGTAAAAAAAAGGCCTTAATATTAAAAAATGTTCATGTTACCTCAACATGATGAGGTTAAAAATCATAATTATTTAAAAAGTAATAATTATCAGATTGAGTCAAAATTATGAGAAAAAAGGTAAAAAAAATGAAATGAAAAGTCAGAATTAAGAGATAAAAAGTTGAAATTAATACTAAAACAACATAATAATAATAATAATAAAACAACAAAATCATAATACAAAATTGATAATTATGATATAAAAAGTCATAATAATGAAATAAAAAGTCAAAATTAGGAGATAAAAGTTATATTTATGACATTAAGTCAAAATTAGAAGTAAGAAGTAATAATTACAGTAGCCATCGGACTCGTCCAGGATCTCTGATTTGATGATCTCCTCGATGACGTCCTCTAACGTGACCAATCCCAGCACCTCGTAGAAAGGATCTCCCTCCCCCTCGTTGTTCACCTTCTGGACGATGGCCATGTGAGAGTTTCCTGACGGAGCGAGGAGAAAGGTCAGAGGTCAGAGTCTTCACTAAAGGGTCAGAGCTTTTCAAACTGTGACTGATTCTGCGTTATGTGAACGGAACAATTTGCAGGTAAAATCTAAACATACAGACACAAAACACGTTTTCAAAAGTCATAATGATGAAATAAAAAGTGTAAATGATCTATTATTATTATCTATTATTGATGTGTGTGTGCTTTGTGAGTGTGAGCACACCTTTCTTGAACTCCTCCAGCATGGCGTCCAGTTTGGTGTCGTTGAAGACGTAGTGCAGCGGGTGGTTGTAGAACTTGGTGATGGTCGTCATCGGGGTGCAGTCGTCCGGGTCCACCAGAGCCAAGTCCTTCACATACAGGATCTCCACAATGTTGGACCTGGAAAGTCAAACGCATGTTAACGAGAGAGAAACCTAATGAATACGCTGTTTGTTGGTTGTGGTTGTAGGTAAATGTATTATTAAAGTTAAGCCTTGATTTAATATGTTAATGTTAAGTCAAATTTACGAGTAAAAAGGTCACAATTATGGGATAAAAGTCAGAATTATGAATAAAAAGGTTACAATTATGGGACAAAAAGTCACAATTTTGAATAAGAAAGTCACAATTTTGGGATAAAGGTCACAATTATGAGTAAAAAAGTCACAGTTATGGGACAAAAACTCACAAGTATGAAATATAAAGTCACAATTTTGGGTTAAAAGTCATAATAATGAGATATAAAATATAAGAGATAAAAGTACATACTGGAACACACACATACTGTATGTATCTCTCTGTTATTGTAGCTCACTGAACCAACAACAAGTGAAATGTTGAGGAGGTTTAAACAGTAACAGCTTCTTTCTCTGTGATCATTATACAAAGTTTAAACAGTGAACTGCTCGCTGTGAAACATTAATGTTCTTCTGGTTAAAGCTGCCGGAGGTCGGATGAGTTAAAGGCGCCGTTATGGAAACTCGTTCCTGCCGTAAAATAAAATAAATGTTTGTGTTAAAATAATGAGATAAAAAGTTTAAATTATTACAGACGCATGAAACGGATAAAATAACTTATAACCTGAAGTTTTAGAAAGATGAGTGATTGATGATCTGGACCTTATTCCACTTTATTGTGTCTATTTTATCATATTCTATATTTTCTATTTTATCATATGTTGTTGTATTTTTACTACAACTCTACGTTCCCTCTAACGGGATCAATAAAGGAACATTTTTATCTTAAACAGTTCTGATCCTTTAAACGCTGATTTCTGTTTTAGAGTTCATAAAAAAACTTGAGAAACATAATAAAAGTCTAAGTTATGAGATAAAACCACAAAATTCTGGGATAAAAAGTTTAAATTCTGGGATAAAAAGTTAAATAATGAGATTAAAACTCAATTTATGAGATTCAAAAAACAAAATTATGAGATAAAAAGTTCAAAATAATCAGATTTGAAACAAAATTATGAGATAAAAAGACCTGATAATGTCTCCGTCTGTCTGTCTCCCTCCCTGCCCTGTTGTGTGTCTGTCACCCTGTCTGTCTGTCTGTCCTGTCTCCCGCTCCCCCTCCCTCCTGTCTGTCTCCCTCCTCCCTCCCTGTCTGTCTGTCTCACTCCCTGTCTCCTGCTGTCTGTCTCCTCCTGTCTGTCCCTCTCTGTCACCCCTTCGCTCCTCCCGTAGATCGGCACTCGGGTGTAGCCGGCTCCTGCAAACCTGATCTCAGAAGCAATGGTGGAGAAGTCGAAGGAACGACGGAAGCTCTGGCAGCATGAAGCAAATCCTTCAGCGGGTCAGGAGTCCTCCACGGTCCTTACTGCGCAGCATCCCGCGGCTGAATCCTCCTTCACGAACTCGCCTGCGGGGACAGGAAACGGGTCACGCACAGCAATCATCACCAACATCAGCATCATCACCCAACATCAGCATCAATCAAACCAACATCAGCATCATCAACACATTCAGCATCATCAACAACATCGCATCATCAACAACATCAGATCATCAACAAAACATCAAGCATCATCAACCAACCATCATTTTTATTTCATAATTTTGGTTTTTAAATCCAAGAAATTTTCTTCTTATCGCAGAATTGGTCCTTTTTTATCTCATATTTGAAGTTTTAATCTCCATATTTTAAAACCCTTTTATTGAGAATTTTGTGATTTTATTCTCATAATTTTTTGACTTTTTAACTCATAATTTTTGATTTAATCTCATAATTTAACTTTGTATCTTTTTATCTTTTATTTAAAATGTCTTATTTATTTTCTGTAGAGCACTTTGGTCCCACCTTTGGTTGTTTTTTAAAGTGTTAACAATTAAATTGGATTGGATTGGATCAGCACCGTGGTAACCGCGGTTACCTGTACGGGTCGTTGACGCTGGTGCGGATCATCTCCATCGCCCTCTCCCGTATCCCGCAGGTGCTGACGTCCCTCCTCAGAGCCAGGTCCAGGATCAGCCCCAGGGGGCAGGACAGGGGGCAGGTGAGCACGATGCTCACCTGGGCCAGCCAGGTGAGAGCCGGCGCCAGCTGGAACCCGTAGCCGGAGCACAGGATGTGGGGGGCGAGCTCGGCGAGGAAGAAGACCAGGAGGCCGCTGGCGAAGACCGCGGACACGATGGAGCCCAGGGCCCGGTACAGGAGCACGCCCAGCGCCGAGTGACCCAGAGCGCACAGGAACAGCAGGGAGCAGGTCTGGGGACGGACAGGAAGTCCAATCAGAACCGAGCTGCATGCTCGTACAGGGCGCCACCTACTGGACCGACTGCGTCTGCTGCAGCTTTAATGTTTCTATTATCTAACTTTAATAAGAACATATAGATTCTGTAAGTGGGCCCGGTACCAGAGTCTGGACCCCCAAAGTAGAACTCTTACAGGTAATAATGAGTTTAATAAAAACCAGCTCGGGACTCACCAGGAAGTTCCCCCTCCTCCTGATGGGCTCCAGGCGCTTGGCGGCCCGCTTCTCCTCCTCGGAACCGCAGCTGTGGAGGACGTACAGCTCCACGGGGTCCAGCCACAGCAGGCTCAGGTTCACGGTCCGCAGCGTCCCGCAGACCAGCAGCAGCACCACGATCAGGACGGCCAGACCCCACGGCGGGATGTAGTCTGCGGGCGGACCGGGGCAGGGGTCGACCCGCAGTCGGTCCGGGCCCACCGACTCCCAGCTGTCTCCGCTCAGCACGCACACTCGGTGGAGGCTCGGTCCCGCTGAGATGCTGGTCTGCCGAACCTCCACCGTCATGAGCCCGCTGTAGTCCTCATCCTGCTCGAACCCACCCGTCACCTGGAAAGCGGACTCTTTCCGGTTGGACTCCTCCCCGCACGGGTCAGGCGCGTCCCCGACCTCCCCAGCGAACCCGACCCGCAGCAGGCTCCCATTCAGAACCGTCCCAGTCCCGAAGAACAGCCGGAGCTGGAACGAGGCTCCTTCTGGCGCCGAGACGACCCGACCCCTCATGCACACCGGACCCGTCGGATCCTCCAGTCGCAGCCCGAGAACCCGCGGAGCCTCGTGGCCGCAGGCGCCGAACCCGAACCCGAACCCGCAGAACAACAACACCATGAACAGGAACCGTAGACCCGCCAGGCTGGCCACCATATTGGAATTGGTCAGCCTGGGCTCTGCGCGACGTCATGTGACTGCCCGTGGCCCCGCCCCCTCTACGCCAAGGAGAGCCAATCAGAGCGAGGCCCTGCAACTGGACTGCGCGGCGGCCATTTTGGCTCCTCTCACACACACACAGCTGGGGGTTTCCGGACATTCTGGCTCCGTTAAACGGTTTTCACTTCACGTTTACAGAAAGTTAATTTGTAATAGAGCCGAGAAACTAAAAAAAAAACATTTAATAATGATATATATTTTAGTTTTTAACACAGAAATCGGCCTGATGAGCAGCACAGGAGCCATTTTGGGGAGCTGATTCTGAATGTTTTTGTTTTTCAGAGCCCCCCCCCCCTCCTCCTGTGCGCTCACAGCCAATAAAACAGGAGAAAACAAGCAGCAGCTCGCCCCCATCATTGTGCCACATTCTTAAAGCACTGGATAGAAATATGTAAAGTTAGCATTAGAAATCAATACATTGTTTTATTGTTGTTTATCTTTTTCTAAATAAGTGTCTTTTTTTCCCGTTAAACTCAAGTCTTCTTAGTATAAAATGTGTCCATAACAGTTAATGAAATATGTGTCAATCTCATTTTCATCTCACATTTTTAAAATGAGTATGTCAATTTGAGTATTCTTTAGTTTTAATTTCTGTGAATCAGTGCCTGAATTGGACCAGAAAAGGTGCCAGTACCCTTATTTGCATTGATAACAGTTAAACATTTTGGTTTTGGGCACCAGAGCATCAAAATAGTTATTTTTCGGCTGATTATTTCACAACTTTTTTCCAGAAGAGGATCTGAAATCTGGCCTCCTCGTTACCTTTACCTCGTCCCCTCTGCACTGTCTCTCAGAGGCTGTATCGGACTCCGTTTTAAAGCTAGAGGTAAGATAGTGGTACTATATGAAACTAGATGACCTACCATGTAATGCTAGCATGTCTAAACAAAGCTCCAAAGTTAGGCAACATTTTTAAAGGGATCCTTTGACCTCAGACCTCAAGATATCTGAATGAAAATGTGCTCTATGGGAACCTACGAGTCTCCTCTTTGAAGATACTTAATGCTAATCCCATTCAGTCTTTTTCATGTGGTATAAATGTGTTATTTTCTCCGGGTGTATTTGAATATTCCTGCAGACTGAGGTCCATGAACAGAGTCCGATCCAAGTATTTATTGTGTCGTCAGTGACATCAGTGTTCATGTGTTTGAGGTGTTGAACAGTGGAGTGAAAACTAAGGTGGAAGCTGAAGTCTTTACGGGCCCAGAGTGGAAATCAGCTCCTCTGACACTTCCAAGACAAAATACACTCAATGATTGACAGGACATAAGTAGGACAGATAGAGAACAAAGAGATAACGTAGAGAAAACTGTGTGTATGTGAATCAAAGAGACAGATTTTCTGTAGAGAAATATATCTCAGGTTTATTAACCTCGTAGATTTCTTCAAATGCCTTACAGTAGTTACAAAACAGTATGTACACATTGCTTTAAATCCACGATTGGAAGTGCTCCTCCATCTTTCTTCAACCATTTCAATAAAAGAAAGAAAATAAATAAATCACAACAAAGTCAAACAGTCACAGCCCTCCGCATCTGAATATTAAAACCTGACAAACAGGTTTTACACCTCCACTGAACAAGCCCTGGGGAAAATAAATTTATCTCAAGTTCATGAAAAGTAATTTATTTTGTATTCCAGGTCCTTAAATGATCTTAAAAACTCGATTACTGCCTGATCTCTTTGTACACAATCAATTATAACATTAAATACATCTGAAAATGATGATACTAGATGTAAAAACATGTTGCGGGGCTTTACTCTTCCCTCTCCTGTTTGTTTCTGCATCGCATCCACATGCACAAAAAAAAACCTCCAAAACAATTCAAACAATCCGACTTGTGAATGATACAGTGTGGAAACCTCCCTTGCCACAGAGAAAATATTTAACCTTCGTACAAGTCTAATCATCACACCGCCGCAGGGCTAAAAACAACACCGCAGGAGTTGCTGATAAGCTCTGGCTCCCCCCCACCCCCTCGCCCTCCCCTCTGCCGCCTCCCCCTCTGCTTCCAGTCCCATGTTAGAAAAAAGAAAAGAAAAGGTCTGAACAATAAAAACGGCTTAGCAGTTTGGGACCCGGCAGTCAAAGGCAGCCGGAGGAATTTCAATACTTGTGAGCGGCAGGAGAGGAGTTCGAGATAAGGGCAGGGTGAAAAATAGATGAGGGGAAAAGGAGACGGAAGCGTGGGAGGAGCAGAGAGAAAAAAAAGGGGGGAAGAGAAGATACAGGATGGCAAAAGATGACAGGGACGGGGGAGGATGGGAAAGAGAAAGATAGACGAGGATTTTGGCTGAGAAATAAAGCTTTTGGTTATCTAATGACAAATAAAACAGAAGCTACAGAAGATGGAAGGAATTATTACTTGAGGTCAACTCTGTGCAATGTTTATTGCTATTTAATGCGTTCCTAGCAAAAACAATGGAACATAAAACATATCTCTCGTTATAAATAGAGCTATTTTCATCTCTTTTCATCACATAAACGCCCCTTCGTGTCTTCATGTACAGAGTATTTACAGTGTTACAACTCAAACAGCAATCAGGGAGCTGAACACAGTGTTTCTGGGTGAATTGACCCAATAAAAGCTGGAAGCCCGTTTCACAGAACCACACCTTCAGGTGCACGCCTATAACAAAAAAACAAACAAACCTCAACAATAAATACAATGTTTACAATAAATACAACATTAATAAGTAGAACATTTGTTTTCACATTTCTCAGTACACAAACTGGTAGTCACACAGCCAACCAGTGGCTCCACTGGAAAACCAGTATAAGACCAATTGCTACACGAGACCTATATGAACCAGCAGGCAGGTCTAAACTTCCTTCAAATAGAGAGTAAGGCTATATCCGCTAAATATCTGCAGGTTGTTCCTTCATCTGAGTGGTCCTGCTGGATAAAATCTAGTTTTTACACAGTGCCGATCGTCTCCATGGCCGGATTTACCTTTTAGAGGGGCGCCCTCTCCCACAGGGTAAAAAATATGAGCTGCTGGGCCCCCCAACATTAACCCACCACATCCCTCCCACTCTCTGTGCATTGTGTGTGGTATTCCTATGCTGGAATATTGCCTCAGGCCTCCCGGTTTGCTGTGTGGTAATTTGATAAAGCACAAATAAATGTAGCAACATGCAACAAGTACGCACACAACTGAAAACAATGGAGGTCTTTAAAAAAAAAGGAAAGATTTTGACACCTCAAGACCTCAAGGTACCCCTAACAGTTGGGCTTTAGTGGTGCATATGCCCTCTTTTGTTTTTAAATAAAACAAATTTACCACAAACCAGCTGTACACTCAGGAGAACCTGCTTGTTAATCCAGCTTTTGATCTCACTTCGGAAATCATTCCACAAAAAAGGAGAAAATGCTTTGGAATATATATATATATATATATATTTTAAACGCTACGTATCTCACAAGCTTAAAAGTGTTTTCAAATCAGTGCTAGCTTATACGACAGTTTTAAATCTTTTCAAATAAATCACTATATCGTCGACAAAGTAATTCGTCTTTACAGTAAAATGTTTCACTGCATACACAGGAAGGAGAAAAATAGGTAGATTACATGCTAGCAGCTTTTAACGCCGGCGCTCCGAGAGCGAGGAGGGAGCTGCTGCAGTCGTCTTTAATCTCTTTATCGCTGCGTCGTCAGTCCACAAGAACGCAACCAAACTCTGGACTCTTGGACAGCATTTACACACAATACGTACATATAGTGAGGAACCCAGTCACAGGAAACCACATTCAGTCCTGGGGTTAGACAGTTAACAGGGTGAAGACATGCAGAGGAATGTTTGTTGTCCATTAAATCTCATAAGTTATTGTGCTGTGAGTGTTTTCAGTATTCAAGTGTCGAACTTTAACCCTCCGGGGCTTGCTGCCAGCTCAACGGTTAACAAACAGCTACAGGTTAAAGAAACAGCTCGACATTTTTTGGGAAATACGTTTTCTTTGCTGAGAATTTGATGAGAAGATTAATTCCACAGAGGTAGCTTAAACTTGTCCACAGGTGAAAGGAAAATGGCCTAAAGCTCGCAAACAAAAATGCTAACAAACATTGAGTTGTGGTGTTTTTATGGGAGTTTATACGCCAATTTCACTTCAGTCTTTGTACTCTTTGTAACTAAGTTTGTAAGTTTGGACAAAGCCAGGCTAGCCTTTTTCATCATTTCCACTCTTTATGCTAAGCTAAGCTAATAGTTTTGAAGCTGTAGCGTTATATATTTAATTATTAGTTATATATATTTAACAGGGCGGCATCAATCTTTTCATCCAACTCTTGTTCAAGAATGGGAATTTGCCAAACATATTCTTTTAAGGTAGCTTAGCTTAGCACAAAGACTGGAAACAGGGCAGCTAGCCTGGGTCTGTTTAAAGTTTAATCCACCTACCAGTACCTCTAAACTCATTAATTAACACAGTATAACCTAAAGATGTCCAAGGGTAGATAAGACGCACCTCTAAAGCTCGCTAACTAAAATGCTAAAAAACATGTGAAAACAACAACTTGTGGTGTTTTACAGGCGCTAATTTCTGAAGATTACACAAAACTTGAAGGCAGATTTTTGAAAACCAGACTAGCCTTTTTCTTGTTTCCACTCATATATTAATTATATATTTAACGGGCAGAATGATAACGATCTTCTGATGGCAAGAAAGCAAATTTTCCCAAAACTATTCTTTTAAGCTAAATCCGGGCTTTCCGTAGCTTTAGGTTTACGTTAGCACAAGGCTAGTTTGTTATATCATAATCAATCACATCATAAGCAAACGTTACCGGTAATGAAATAAATAAAAAAAAAGACATAACTGTAAGAACATGTGGAATTTGTGACGTAGAATCAGGGTCGTAGGTCAGTCTGTGTTTTCTTTCTGGGAATTCTTTGGTACTAGCAACCTTTAAGGAGTTTACATTATAAAGTTAAGAACTTACACATTTTCTACGATTATTTTAGTAGTTTTAGACTCAGATTTTTTATCATACCTGTACGCTAAATATGAAGCTATCAACTGTGTTAGCTTAGTTTAGCCAGGACTGGAAACAGCTAGCCCTGTTCAAAGTTTTAAATATCAATATACCAGGACGTACAGACACATAAACCCCTTATAAAGCTACAATTTCTGTTTACGCAGCCTTTATTAAACAATATTTCCTATATTTTAACTTCTAATAACAAGTCGTGGAGGTTTTATTTGTCATAGATATAGACGACGTGGCCTTACGCCCCGAATTACATTTCTCTTTGTGTACAGATTAAATAGGATTTGTGCTAGTAAGTGAGCTTTAGAGGTGCTGGTACGCAGAGACAGAGAGAGGCTAGCTGTTTCCCTCTGTTTCCAGTCTTTATGCTAAGCTAAGCTAACTGCCAGGTAGCTCTAGCTTCAACACGAAAGGTATCAATCTTCTCGTCTAACTCTCAGCAAAAAGTGGATAAGCTAACTTCCCAAAATTGCTTCATTATATAAGATTAGTATTAGTCAACTTTAATTTTTATGGTATTTCTAAACTCCTGCTCAGATCCAAAACAGCCCAGAACCCCGACAGAAAGAGTTTGGTCTGCTTTTTTATCACCAGACTCTGTAATCGGAGTCATGTGCAGAGAATATGTAGAAATGCCCTCATTAAGCAGATTATATTTAATAAATAAAAAAAACAGCCAACTGTGCTGTGAACAGACTTGCTAAAAACTAAACTACTCGTTTCTCTGGGTTATTTGGTCTTCATGTCACGTATGAACCCAACTTCCTGCACCAAGACGTACAATAACTTGGTGGAAATAAACAAAAAAAAACCCAGAGTAACTTCCAACCAAGAGATCTGAGTCCACAGTGTTGCCACAACTTCAGATCCAGCTCTTTTGTGTTGAAGAGGAGCCGGCGTCGCAGCGAGCTCCGTTCACAGTGAGGATCAAACAATAAAACAGTGTCTGTACAACTTAGTGTCACCTGAAGCATGCAGCGTGTCCTTCAACTCAAACTGCAGCGTTCTCAAGAACCAAAGAGAGCAAATAATAAATAAAATCTCTAAAATATAAAACAAATTGTCAAATATATATATATATAAATCTATATATATATATATATATATATATAAATTAATGTAATAAATATCTCACTCTTGGAAATTAAATTAAAACATATTGCCTTGGTCAGGAGGTCGGCCAGGAAGACACCCACCTTAACTACTAACATTGACTTATAGGACCATTCCGGTGTTTTTATTTTAGCTTATTAAATACAAATTGTTCATATTAATGCTTATTATTTTCCATCACATGCAAGAATTTTGATTTATTTTCTACTGCTGCATGTTTTTTGCAAAAATAGTCTAAAATATCCACGATTTGTATTAAATGGGCAAAGAAAATCACCGGTATGGTTGTTTAACTTTCACTCAGTACAGTGACTCTGGTCCATTTGCTGGTAATTAAACTAATTAATTCATTAATCTGTCACCACTCTGCCTTAATAAAAGCTCCAACTCCAAAAAAACACAAACAAACCGACTAAAATCACATTAAAATAAAAACCTTGACTTGTTAAACTAGTTTTTTGGGAAGTTTCATTCTTTGGGAAAAATAAATGGAAATTGAGAGGCAAAGTAAATAAAGTCTGAACAGCAGCCTGTGTAAGAGGGTTGACGGGGACACAGCACTGATCTGTTAATGTCTCACCGGTGATGACTTAAAGGGTTAGTTCACATTAATTACAGAAATAAATAAAAACACCTTGCAGATAGCTTCAGTTTTATGTGCTCAGAACATTTAAAATATCACTAAGTCCTGTAGTTAGCCAACAAGCTTTAATACAAGATTTTATTTCCCTTTTTTTAAACAAGCACAAGTTGGTTGTGTACTGTAGCATCAAGTTAAAGCTAACTAGCCTACCTTGGTAACATCAGCGCTGATTCCCACTAGATGTTACTGTTCTTTTACGTTATTTGAACACCTGTGGAGTCACACTGCTGTGCTAGTTAAACATTAATCAAAGGACAGGGCCTAGCTAATGTTAGCATCAGCTGTCATATTAAATGGATGGTAGAAAAGCCAAAGATTATTGTAATCAGTTAGCGAGTGGTCGTACTGTGACGATGACTGTATGGTTGTAGAGTTAGTCACTGACAGTATAACACACCATCCTTTCACTTTGGATTTATTTTACGGTCTTTGGCTGATGTTTGATTCATTTTCAGGCACTTCTGTATTTGTTAGAGTCAAGCTTTTCCCAATTAAGCTGAAAGTTGATGTGAACTTTATTTACAGGTCGTAAACCCACAACTACTGTTTAAGTTACCCACAGGGTCCCAGTTGACCTGGATAATCCACAGGCTGCACTGTTATGGTATAAAGTAGTTCCTCTGCAACCTGTTTCACAGACAGAAAGTTGTTTCTGCTGCTTTAAGGAATTAATCTCTGAGCAGAAGGCAGAAATCTCCAAACCTGTAAAACTAAAACCATCTGCAAGGCGAGACACCACTCGAGGTGAATGTAATGTGAATGAACTGATCCTATAAGAGCACACACACACACACACACACACACACAACCCCGTCTACATCCACAATCACACCCTCTGGTGCTCCCTCCTCTTCCTCTGTGCAGTCTCCATCGCTCTCAGTGTGGGGAGGGGGGACATGCAGGAAGGGATCATGGAGGATCTCCGTTCACAAAATACACGAATGTGTTGATCCCTCGGACGAGACAACGAACAAGAAGTAGTGCGAGAGTGTGTGTTATGTGAGTGAGTGCACAGGTAGTTTCCCCCCCCCCCCTCTTTCTGTTAGATGGTGCTTTCAGTGTGTGCGTGACTGATGGTGTGAACGTGAGGGTGGGGGTGCCCCTGGGTGTGGCTGGGCTTGCGTGGACCCACACAGTTCTGCTGCTCACTGAGCAGAGTGGTGGTCTCTCCCGGCCCGTTCTCGGGGCTGGCAGAAGGCGGGGGCTGCTGGGATTTAGAGGAGGCGGTCTGAGGTGGGTGGGGGTTAAAGGCGCCTGCACTCATGGAGGACGGAGAGGTTTGGGAGAGCGGGTTGTGGTTGCTCGGAGGGGGGGTGGCTTGTGGCAGAGATTGGCTCGGTCTGCGGCCGGAGGAGGTCGGGGGCAGAGAGGTGCGGCTGCTCGGCGGCGGCGGTGGCTGAGTGTTAGACAGCTGGCGCCTCACGGGAGGCGTGGCCAGCGGCAGTGGGTTGCGGGTCCCTGGTGGCGTCACGGGGGGCAAAGAGACAGACGTGTCCAGGCGAGTGTGACTGCCGTCAGGGGACTGCGGCGAGCTGTCCAGCCTGGACGCCAGGAGGCCGTTCTGGTACTGAGCACGTGTGATCTGAGGAGCAAAACATCGATTGGTCTTTTAGTGGACGTATTGAAGCTCTTTCCTCATCTAACTCAGTGAATTAAGGTTTTATTCTGAATTAACCAGAGTTGGAAAGACTAACAAAGACAGTTTTAGTGTGTTTTATGATTATCTGCAATGTAAAGTTACTGGTTTTGTCAGTGGAGTCTGGTCTGGCCGTAGTGTTCTGGTCTGAGAACCTGGTACTTTCAGTCTTTTAACTGGGAGTCTTGAAGTCATTGTGGTTTTCACACTACGTGACTGATCAGGAAACTACATCAGCAGTCAACAACCACATCATGTTTAATTAGGAAAGTAGTTTAGAAACAAGCACAAAGGGAAACCATTTAAGTCCAGTAAGCTGACAATTAGTCTGATCAGCCAGCGTCAGTAATCAATACACACATTGTTAAAGCATTAATCAAAGTAATAACTAACAGTCAGACAACATTATCAGCCTTTAACAGTTACCTAATATTTGATTAGTGGAGACAAAATGTAAAAAAATACACATATTATCAGTTTGAATTGAACTAAAATCTCCCTGCACCAAACTCCCTTTAAGAAATATGAAATTTTAACAATTCCTAACGTGTCCATAAAAAAACACATAACTCTAGTAACACGAGTTAAAGAGCTTTATTTGTTGACTGTCTTCTTGTCAATTCGGTTTCAATATAATCCATAAAGATAAACTGTATTCTGTACAAACTGTATATAAACAATGTAATAATGTCACATATAGAGTCAGATATCAGTCACAGGAGACATTTAACTGCACAATAAGTACTTTTACTCCTGATACTTTAAGTACTTAGAATAATTTTGGTACTTTCTGGAGTATTTTTACATAAATCTATTGGTTCTTTTACTTAAATCAGAGTATCTGAGTACCTCTCCCGCCCTGTCTGAATGCAGTGGAGTTGGCCGACTGGCACTTTAGTGAAACTGATGGTTACCTTGACGAACTGGAGGTCTGTGACAGCACGTACGCAGAAGTCAGGTATGTACTGGAAGGGGGTGCCCGGGATCTGAGTGACGCTCCCGCCGACGGAGCTGCTTTCTGGAGCGCGCTCAGTGCAGCTCAGGGACGCCGAGCGGTTGAGGTTGCCCGCGTGTGACGGAGAACGAAACTCTAAAGGTAGGGGGGGGGTCAACAGAGAAAGAGAGTGAGTGAAAGACAGAGAGAAAGAGGACACACACACTCTCTCTTAAACATTAACAGAAGCAGAAAACACACCAAGAAACAACAGGATAAAGAGGAAAACATGAGAAATATGAATGATGGTGGATGAGTGAGAGCAAGAACACACTGCAACACGCCACACAAACACGTATATATTAATGTCAGCATCATAGATCGACTATGATCGATGAGGTGAGGTGAGGTTGTGTTCGTTACGCAAACAATGCGACAAACATGCCATGCGATGAGGCAAAGTGCATCGTTTGAGCCATTTTCGCGGCCGCGGCGGGGGGAACCGTCCCCGAGCTCGGAGGAACGAACCCGCTCTCATTGGCCGGGTTTTTAAGTGATGTCATGGAGGGTGGGAGATGCATCCTATTAGGGGTTGTGTGAAAGGGGGAGAGAGAGAGAGAGAGAGAGAGAGTCGGTGATCAGAGAAACTTCAGTCGGAGGAGATTAAAGTGGGAGAAACATCTGTGTTTAAAGGAATAGTTCAACCTTTTGGGGGAAACTGTTGTTTGTTTGTTTTCTTTTTGAGAGTTACACGAGAAGATCGATGACGCTCTCACGTCTGCATCGAGTATCGTGACGTCACATATTGGTTTGTGGAAAACCGTTCGGCGTTATGGAAGTGAAGCCAACGCAGAAGTGTCT